AAATGACGTTCATTCCTGCCTGCGTCGTGCCGTTGCCCGCCCGCCCGCCGCTGCGGGCGTGTGGCTCCCCACCCCTCAGTCGACGAAGACTAAAAACACACCAACATGAACTCTCGGCGCTCCGCGCGGATCTCTCGGATCCGCGCTGGGGCCCCCTGGCGGCGCCTCCGGCGCCGCCCCTGGCGCGCTCCGCGCGCCGGGGAGGGGGGCCCAGCGCGGATCCAAGAAGTCCGCGCGGACCTCCAAAAGTGTATGTCGATAGGTTTTTTCCACCTCTGCTCCAAGTCCCTTACTCATCGCATTTGGAGGGGGGTCGGGCATATAGGGTCGCATTTGGAGGGGGGTCTGGTCTTTAGGGGGGGGGGCGATGGATAACGGATCTGGGGTGCTCAGAGGAGGTCCGGTCTTTTCGGTGGGGGTGCGATTGATAACCGGTTTTTTTGGGGGGCGGTGGGGGGCGATGGACACCGGGGCGCCTGCTCCGATCGCGGCGCCGCGGTGCCGTCGGCCGGCACGGAGGGGCATGCCGTCCACCGTGATGGTAAGGGGATCGGGCAGGACGAAGGGGGGGGAACTGGGAAAGGGGGGGTTACGAAATCTGCTGCATGCAGCTGGTTTCGGCCTCACCGAGGGGCCCATTCCTCGAGACATGGCCGCCTCCGGCGCCAGAAGGCGCCGGGGAAATCAGCTCTACGTGAGCTGATTCTCAAACCCCCCCTTTGCTATCCCCCCCTTTCGCCCGACCCGAGGGGAGCGGCCACCGTCCCAGGGGTGGCCTTAAAAGCATCCTCGCCTCCTCGGCCCATCCTTGGCCACTTGCGTTGGCCGCCCCCCCGCTCGGAAAGCCTCGGCGCGGCCTTCCAGGGCCCTTGCATCCTTGTCGCGCATCCTTACTATACTGGTTGACTGTATCATGCGCGAGGTCTTCTCTATGAGGCTCCCGGAGCCTATGATAACATGCGGAAGATGCATCATATTGGTCGGACTGTAATGCAGAAGATGCGGAGCGCACCGCCTTATGAAGCACGCACAGAGACAAACAGAGGCACGCAGAGACGCACAGCAAAGACGCACAGACAGACACACAGAGACTCACAGAGACTCGCAGAGACTCGCAGAGACACGCAGCGACACGCAGCGACACGCAGAGACACGCAGAGACACGCAGAGACACGCAGAGACACACAGACACACGCAGACACACAGAGACATGCGGAGACACACAGAGACAAACACAGACACGCACAGAGACCTCCAGAGGCACGTAAAGACGCACGTAGACACGCACAGACACGCAGGAACACACGAACACAACGTGACGCGCAGATGCGCACAGATAGACAGAGACGCAGAGACACACCGACACACACATATGCTCACAGTCGAATGCAGACACGCGCAGACGTACGCGCGCACGCGCAAACACAGGCACACGCAGACACAGACAGACACAGACAGTCACACATAAACGCGCATATATACTGCCGCACACATAGACACACACAGGGACACAGGCACACAGAGACACACAGAGGCACACAGACACACACACACACACACCCAGGCACACAGCGAGACGCAGCGACACACAGCGACACACAGAGACACGCACACGCACACGCGGGCACACGGAGGCACGCAGCGGCGCGCAGAGCCTCGCGGAGACGCGCTGAAGCAAACGGGGACATGCAGAGACTCACAGAGACACAGAGACACACGGACACACGCAGAGGCAAGCAGAGACACGCAGACGCACGCAAACACGCAGGCACAAGCACACGCGCAGACACACGCACACGGGCACGCGCAGGCACGCACCACCATATTTACACACGCAGGCACATATACATATATATATATATATATATATATACAGGCACATATTTACACACGCAGGCACGTGCATACACACAGACACACAGACACGCATAGACACACACAGGCACACACAGGTGCACGCATGCACACAGAGGCGCGCATGCACACATACACACAGGCACACACATACACATAGTCGCACAGTCACACACAGACACACACAGACACACGCACACAGACACACACGCAGACACACAGAACACACAGACACAGGCACACAGAGACACACACAGACAGGCACAGGCACGGAGACACACACGCAGACAAACACCCGGACGCACAGACCCACAATCACACGGGCTGGTGGCGCCTCAGAGGAGCCGGCGCAGACACGAACGAAGACACGCGCACACAGACCCACACACACAGACACGAACAGTTTTCCCGAAACACGCAGGCACAAAGACACACGCTGACAACCACAGGCACACACACACCGACACAGGCACACGCAGACAGACACACACAGGCGCGCACAGATACACGCAGACACGCGGATAGACACAGGCACACACAGACACACAGAAACACACGCAGACACACACAGGCACAACCCGACACAAAGATACGCCAGCACACACAGGCACACACAGGCACACACAGACACACACAGACACGCACAGGCACACGCCGACACATACAGACACACAGACACATACACAGACAGACGCACACAACGGCACATACAGACACACGCACAGACAGCCAACGACGCACCGACGCACGCAGGCATTCACATACGCACACGCGTGCACATAGACAGACACGCAGACACACACAGACACACACAGACGCACGCAGACATGCAGAGACACACAAGCACACGCAGGCACACACAGGCACACAGACACACACAGGGACAGACACCCAGACACACAGACACGCGCAGAGACGCACACAGAGACACACACCGGCACACACTGGCACACACAGACACACACAGACACACACACAGAAACATACATGCTGACACAGACACACACATGTAGACAAAAACGCACCGAGACACACAGACACACAGACACACAGGCACACACAGACACGCAGACACACAGACACACACACAGACACGCGCAGACACACACGCACACACACAGACACACACACACATTCACAGACATACCGACACACAGACGCACACACATACAGACACACGCAGACACGCACAGACACAGGAACGCAGTCACACATATACACAGACACACAGACACAAAGATGCACAGACACACAGACACAGACACACGGACACACCATTTCACAAACACGCAGACGCACATACGCACATACATATCACACACACTCACTCGCGGAGAGCAGCCGGTTGACCCTCTTGGGCTTGCTAGCCGCTCCTCTATAGTGTCTAAGCGCACGCGCGCGCACGCGCACCTCTCGCGCGCGCTTACACGCGCGCGCAACCCCACATTCACATTGACACACTTATCCGCGCGCGTATACACACTTCCAATTACACAATCGCATATTTACGGATATGCGCAGGCACACACGCATCCACGCACACACACGCGCACGCACGCATACACGTATTCACAGTCACATTCGCAACCGCATTCGTAGTCACAATCGCATTCGCATTCACATTCACGTTCGCCTTCACCTTCGCCTCCATCTTAAATTCGCATTCGCTTCACATTCACATTTACATCGGCAATCGCATTCGCATTCACACTCGCATTCGCATTCGCGTTCGCATTATCATCCGCATTCGCAGTCACATTCGCACTCGCATTCACATTCGCATCCACAGTCGCATTCACAGTCGCATTCAGATCCACATTCACGTTCATCAGCGCATTTGGATTCGCGCTCGCATGCCCATTCGCACCCACATCCGCATTGACATTCGCATATGCGTTCGCATTCACATTCACATTCGCATTCGCGTGCGCCTTCACATCCGCATCCACATTCGCATGCGCATTCACATTCGCATGCGCATTCGCATTCGCATTCACATTATCATCCACGTTCGCATTCACATTCGCATGTGTATTCGTACTTACATTCGCATTCTCATCCACATTCGCATTCACATTCGCGTTCGCATTTGCATCCGCAGTCACATCCGCATTCGCATTCACATTCACATTCGCATTCACATTCGCAGTCGAATTTGCGTTCAAATTCGCATTCGCATTCACATCCACATTCGCAGTCGCATTCACAGTCGCAGTCACACTCGCATTCGCTTTCGTAATCGCATTCGCACCCACGGTCGCATTCACATTGACATGTGCATTCGCGTTCGTAAGCGCATGCGCATTTGCATTCGCATTCAAATGTACATTCGCATTCACGTTCGCATTCGCATTCACACGTACACGCAAGCACACACACGCACACACAAACAAACGCACAGACGCACACACATACTCACGCACACGCACACGCACACACACACACACACTTTTGTCCCTCCCTCTCTCTCACACGCACGCTCGTATACGTAGACGTTCACGTAGACGTACCCATACAGGTACACGTACACGTACACATATACGTACACGTACTCGTACACGTACACGTACATGTACACGTACACGTACACGTATTTGTACACGTACACGTACATGTATTTGTACACGTACACGTACACGTACACGTACACGTACACGTACACGTACACGTACACGTACACGTACACGTACACGCACACGCACACGCACACGCACACGTACACGTACATGTACACATACACGCATACGCACATGTACATGTACACGTACACGCACACGTACACGTATATATATATATATATATATTTATATGTATGTACACATAGACGTATTTTTGCACGTGCACCTATCAGTGCACGTACACGTACACAGACACATACAAATACACATACGCATACACATGCATATACACGTACATACACATATAGACACATACGCATACACATACACATATTCATACACATACGCATACACATACACACATAGTTTACACTTGGCCGCGCCATACCATATTATATCATCTCTTCTTCCATCTCTTTTCCTCCGTTCTTGTCGCCGTCGTCATCGTCGTCCTCTTTCTCCTCTGCACCGTTGGCGACGACGGAGGCCGCGGCGGCGGCGACGACGACGAAGTAACGCCCGCTTCAGGAGCTCGCCTACGCCAGCATCGAGGACCTGCTGGTGCGCGTGATGCCCGAGATTAGTCAGCCCTTCCGGGACAATCGTAAGGACTTCGACAAGGTCAACGAGCTGGAGGCCTCCCCGCTTGCCGCCGGGCGGCGTCGGGCTGGCCGTCTGCGCACACTGGCCTTTCGGGGGCGTCTCCCCACGGTTTCCACCACTGTCCCACTGTCCCCAGTGTTTCCACCACTGTCCCACTGTCCCCACTGTCCCCGCCGCTGTCCCAATGTGCCGCTCCACTGTCCCCACTGTTCCCACCACTGTCCCACTGTCCCCACTGTCCCCACCACTCTCCCCACTCCACTAACCACCGCCTTCACCACTGTCCCCACTACTACCGTCCCCACCACTGTCCCACTGTCCCCACCACTGTCCCGCTGTCCCCTCACTACTGTCCCCACCACCACCGTCCCCACCACTGTCTGCACCACTGTCCCACTGTGCCCACACCACTGTCCCCACCACAACCGTCCCCACCACTGTCCCAGCATCCCCACCACTGTCCATCTGTCCCGAGGTGCGGCAATCGTTTGCCGGCGTCGAGGGGGGCGGGTTCGAACCGGTAGTGACCCCCCCCCGGTTTTCGAGGGGGCCCGGTTTTCGAGGGGGTGGGGGGACGACCCCCCCAGTTTTCCACCAGCAGCGGTAGAACACGCTCTTTCTGATGATGAGTATGATGATGATGATGGTGATGATGATGATGATGATGATGATGATGATGTGGTGATAGTAGTGGTGATGGTGATGATGGTGATGATAATAATGATGATGATGATGAAGGTGATGATGATGATGATGATGATGATGATGATGATGATGATGATGATGGATGACGATGATGATGCTGATGATGACGATTATGATGATGCTGGTCCTCATGGTGATGAGGTGGAGGAGGCGAAAGAGGAGGAAGAGCAGGAGAGTGATGGTGATGGTGATGGTGCGGACGAGGGCGAGGGTGATGGAGATGGTGATGCTGATGGTGTTGGTGGTGATGATGATGACGACGATCACGATGATGATGCTGCTGATACTGATGATGATGATGATGATTGTGATAGTTATGGTGATAATGACGGTGGTGATGGTGGTGATGATGAGCATGTTGACGATGGGGATGATCATGGTAAAGCAGCATATAATGTTGTTGATAATGCTGAAGATGATGATGATGGTGATGATGATGCTGCTGATGATCACGGCGATGACGATGTCGGTGACGATGATGACGATGCTGCTGATGATGATTATGACGATGTCGATGACGATTCCGACGATGATGACAACGATGATGCTGTTGATGATGAGGATGGTGGTGGTGATGGTGTTGGTGATGATGGTGATGATGATGATGACGATGATGATGATGATGTTAACGATGATGCTGTTAACTATGATGGTGGCGATGCTGCTGATGATGCTGGGGATGAGGATGATTATGCTGATGATGCTGCTGCGTATAAGGATGATATTGATGATGATGATGCTGATGCTGATGATGATGATGATGATGATGCTGACGGCGCTGATGTCGATGCTGATGATGATGATGCTGATCATGTTGATGATGATACGTATGAGGATGCTAATTGTGGTGATGATGGATGATGCTGCTGCTGATGATAATGATGATTGTGATGATGATAGTGCATGTGATGGTAATGATACTGTTGATGATGTTGGTGATGATGACGAACGAGGACGAGGTGGATGTTGATGATGAGGACGAGGACGAGGACCATGATGATGATGAGGATGATAGTGGTGGAGGTGACGTTGATGATGAGGCTGCTGCTGCTGATGCTGCTAATGATGATGATGATTATGATGATGATGATGATGATGGTGATGATGATGATGTTGATGGTGATGATTATGATGCTGATGCTGATGCTGATGCTGATGATGATGATGCTGATGATGATGATGATGATGATGATGATGATGATGATGAGGAGCAGGAGAGTGATGATGCTGATGATGACGATGATGATGCTGATGCTGCTGCTGCTGCGGATGATTATGATGATGGTGATGATGATGATGGTGATGCTGATGATGCTGATGCTGATGATGATGCTGATGGTGATGATGATGATGATGATGATGATGATGATGATGCTGATGTTGATGCTGATGCTGACGATTAGGATGTTGTGATCTTGTAGTTGTTGAATTACCATATTTGAATAATCATTATTGTTGATCTCTCTGGAGTAGGAGGAGGAGGAGGAGGAGGAGGACGAGGATGAGGATGAGGATGAGGATAAGGAGGAGGAGGAGGAGGAGGAGGAGGAGGAGGAGGAAGCCCTCTTGGGCTGTCTTTGGGGCCTCTTGGGGCACTCCTGGTCCGTTTTGGCGCGTTTGTGAGCACCCGGACACCCGGGGGGTGATGGTATTCTGAAAAGGGACCCCCCGGGGACCCCCTGGGACCCCCCTCGAATCCTTCCCTGGGACCCCGTCCAAGGACCCCCCAGGGACCCCTTCCCCGGGACACCGGGGAATGGATCAAAGAGAAGGGGCTTCCTGTCGACTCAGTTCAGTGAAGGGGGGAGGAGCGGCGACGGGCCACGGCAAGAGCGACGACGACGACGACGTTGATGACGGCGCCTACGACGACGACGCCTACGACGACGACGACGTTGATGACGGCGCCTACGACGACGACGCCTACGACGACGACGACGACGACGACGACGAGTCAAACAGAACAGCAGCTTCCACACGCCGACAGGGTCGGCGGATATTTATGAATATCTCTGTGTATGTATTCATGTATATCTAGATATGTATATGTATCTATAATACATCTATAGCCATGCGTGTATCTCTATACGTCTATATATATATGTATATATGCACATATATCCAGTTGTATATGTAGCTACATCTATCGTATGGATGGCTATGTTGGTTTTGATGAGGTCTCTGCTCCCCCTCCTCTTCTTTCCCTCGTCCTTTTCGTTCCTCTCTCGTCGTCGTCCTCTTCCTGATGCTGCCGCATCCTCCCAGAGACCCCCGAAGCCCTCGACCAGATACCCCTTGCACCCACGAGGGCCCCCTTCCCACCCGAGATGCCCCCTCCCCCCAGGAAGCGGGCCGCTTTCGTCTTCGGCCGGTCTGGGCTCTGGCCTGTTTGGACTCCGTCGGTCTGCTTCGGCTTCGGGCCGCTCCGGCTTCGGCCCGTTTCGGCTTCTTGGGGGTCCCAAAACAGTGCGGTGACAGACCGTGCGGTGACCTCGGAACCCCAAGAGACCTCACCGCACGGTCCGTCACCAGACGGTTTTGGGACCCCGGAGGCTCCAGTCGCCCGAGGCATCCTCGGAGAACGACCCGAGTCCCAAAACCGTGCGGTGACCACGAATCCCCGCCGACTCACCACACGGCGTGGTCACCATCCCGCTTGGGGGCCCCCGAACCATCGCCCCCCCCCGCGGCGGGCGCCAAGGGCAGCCGAGAGCCTTCTCGAGCCGGCCTCCTGCTCGCCGCGCTTCGGGAGCGCCGGGCCCCCAGAAGTGAGGCGTCGGCCCTCGCCTTCCGGGCAGCGCCGGCTCCCGCTGCGGACTGGCGGATGGCATCGGACCCGTACCTTCTGCATATGGTGAGGTCGGGCGTGTCCCCATACAGGCGGACTTTGGGACGAAATGGACATGAAAAACTGTGAAATTGTCAAGAGTAGTCAAACAATCGTCCCCTCGCCTTCCGGGCACCACCCCGTTTTGGGGGCCCCCGAGCTTCGGCCCGTCTCCTCCTGGCCCGACGCGGCTCCAGCCCGCGCCCGGCGCGCCGAGGCCGAGCCGCGCCGCGCTTCGGCGCCGAGGGCGCGCCACAAGCGCGCCGAGGCCGAATTGCGGGCCGAGGCCGGAGCCCGAGGCTTCGGGGCCCGGAGGCGCAGCGCGGGCCCTTCCTGGGCCGAGGCCGGAGCCCGAGGCTTCGGGGCCCGGAGGCGCAGCGCGGGCCCTTCCTCCTCCTCCTCCTCCTCCTCCGCCTCCTCCTCCTCCTCCTCCTCCGCCTCCTCCTCCTCCGCCTCCTCTTCCTCCTCCTCCGCCTCCTCCTCCTCCTCCGCCTCCTCCTCCCTCCGCCTCCTCCTCCTCCTCCGCCTCCTCCTCCTCTCCGCCTCCTCCTCCTCCTCCGCCTCTACTCGCCTCCTCCTCCTCCTCCTCCTCCTCCTCCTCCCGTCCGAGCAGCCCGCGCGCCGCGCGGGGGCAGGTTGGGCCCCCGGGGCGCTCTCGGTAGGGGGCCACGTGCGAGCCCTACCCCTACCCCCCACTCAAACGACGCGAAGATCGGGACAAAATCGGATCGGGATAACTCGAAATCTCTGAGGAGCGGCGGGTTTGGAGGATGTATTGGGCGCCGCGGCCGCTCCGGAGCGTTCCGGAACGCTCTGAGAGCTCTCCGGAACGCTCTGGAGCGATTTATCCCGATCCTAGCCCTGTTTTAGCTCTCGGTAGGGGGAGCTCCCGCACGTGGTGAACCCCACCCTCCCCCTCAGAAATCGTGGGGGGTAGGGGTAGGGTTCGCACGTGGCCCCCGAGGCGCTCTCGGAGCACCGCCTCCCGCCCTGCGCGCGCGCCCCCGCCCCCCCCTTTCCGCGCCGGAGAGGCCTTCTACCTCGCCATCGGCGAGAACGAGGACGCTCACCGCCGACCCAACCACCCTAACCCGACCCGAAGGCCCCGATTTGCCCCCCGTTTTTTCCACGGGGGGGGGTGATCGGGGAAGATTGAACAAACACATGGAGCCCCCCACCCCCCCGACCCGAAATGCGGGTCAAGTTCGGGCCTTCGGGTTGGGTTGGGGTGGTCTGGTGGGTAGTCAGCTCGGGGCCGTGGCCCGGCGACCGCGCTCGGGGTGTGGTCGCGCCGTGGCTCGAGGCCGCAGCTGGGGGCCGGCGTGCTGGGCCGGCGGTGCTCGGGGCCGTGGCTCGGGGCCGGCGCTCGGGGCCGTGGCCCGGGGCACCGGAGGGGGTTCTAAGGCCTCCTACAGTCGGGGCGTTGACCTAAGGAACCCTAAATGAGGAACGAGGCCCCTTTCTTCCATGGGTTGAGCTTTGATTTCCCGCCGAAAACATAAGGAAAACCTGAGGCAAGCTGTGAAACACTTGAGGAACACGGAGCCCCTCCCCAACGAAAAGGGTTCCTTCTTCAGCGACCCGACTGTAGATGGGGTCCGAGTAGGTGGGGTCGGAGGATCGCGCCGCATCGCCGATGCATCGACGATTCGGCTCGATGTGGAGCCCGTGTTTCCCCGCACCCACGTCGCCGATGCATCGCCAGCGTCGCCGATGCATCGCCGATGCATCGCCGATGCATCGCCAAGACATCGGCGATGCATTGGCGATGCGGCGCGATCCTTCGACCCCATCTACTCGGACCCCATTTAGGAGGACTCTATAGATGGGGTCGGAGGATCGCGCCGCATTGCCGATGCATCGGCTATGCATCAGCGATGCGGCTCGATGTGGGGCCCGATTTTCTCCACGCCGACGTCGCCAGTGGATGGCCGATGCATCGGCGATGCATCGCCGATATATCGTCGAAGCGGCGAGATCCTCCGACCCCATCTACTGGGACCCCATCCAGGAGGCCTCTACTAGCTCCGCTGGGGTGTGGTCTCATTTCGCCGCCCACCAAACCACCCCAACCCAACCCGAAGGCCCCGATTTTCCCTCCATTTCCAGTGGGGGGGGGTCGGGGAGCAGTGAAAAACACACATATGAAGCCCCGTACCCCCCCAACCTGAAATTCGGGTCTTCGGGTCGGGTTGGGGTGGCCTGGTAGGTAGTCATCATCAGCCCTGACCCTCCAGCTTCCACACCTTCCGAGCAGCAGATGGCTGCTGTGGTGCTCTTTCTCGAGGGGCACAGAACGGCATCAACACAGACTTGTGGAGGTCCGCGCGGATTTCCCAGATCGGCGCTTGGACCCCCTGGCGGCGCCTCCTGCGCCGCCCCTGGCGCGCTCCGCGCGCTAGGGAGGGGGGTCCACCGCAGATTTAAGGAATCCGCGCGAGCCTCCAACAGGTTCTGTTTACGAAGTTTCCTCCAGGGTGTGGTCTCATTAAGAATAAGAGAACTCCTTGAACCCCCTAATGACACAATTGAGGTGTGGCCTAAGTCAGGTCACCGTCCTTGCGATGGGGATCTATCTACATTTGTATCTACACATCTATTCACATATATGCATATCGAAGACGCCTACGGCGAAGCACAGCCGCCCCTGCCTTTTGGAATCGCCCATCTGGCTGAGCGTTGTGGCAAGAGCTCTGCCAAGCTATCGGACCATGTTTTCCCCCAGCCGTTGCGGAAACTCTTTGGGGAAAACTAGGGGGAGGATGGCTGGGAAGATCAGGAAGAAGAGGAGGAGGAGGAGGAGGAGGAGGAGGAGGAGGAGGAGGAGGAGGGGGCATATTGGGAGCCTCTGAGGGCACTCCTGGGGCCTCCTGGGAGCTTCCTGGGAGCCTCTTTGAGGCCTCTCGGGGGCCTCCTTGGGCCTCTCGGGGGCCTTTGTGGCTTTCGCGGGGGCCTCTTTGGCCGTCTTAGGGTGTTCCTGGCTCGTGTGACTCCGTCGGAAGCCGTCTTTGGGGCCTCTCTGGGCCGACCTGGGGCCCTCTTAGGGTGCCATCTTGGGCGTTTTGGAGGCCTCTTGGGCCGTCTTGGGGACCTCTTGGGGGCGTCTTGGGGCCTCTTGTGCCGTCGCCGTCCTGAGGCCATCTTGGAGGCCTCTTGGGTGATCTTCGGGCTATCTTTGGAGGCTCTTGGGCCGTCTCGAGGCGTCGGAACGCCGAATTGCAGCAGATGCCAAACTCCTTCGAAAACCTAGGGAACATCAATGATTTTGACCTCTTCGGCCCTTCCTGTAGGCCCTCTTGGGGGCCTCTTGGGCCGTCTTGGAGACCTCTTGGGGGCCTCTTGGGCCGTCTTGGAGGCCTCTTGGGGGTCTCGGCCGTTTTGGGAGCTTCTTGGCCGAACTTGGAGGCATCTTGGACCCTCTCGGGCCGTCTTCGAGGCCATCTAGGACCATCTTGGGCGAACTTGGAGGCCATCTTGGGCTATCTTGCCCTCTTGGAGGCCATCTTGAGCCGTCTGCGGGAATTGTTTTGGCACGTTGAGGTGTTTTGTGGTCCCCTCCGCGTGGCCGGCTTGATGAGCCGAAGCCCCAGGGGAAGTTCTTTTGGACAAAAGAACCAAAACCGAACCGTATAGGATTCAGCATGCCAGGCACCTCTGTGGCAAGCCTAACAGGGGTTGGCGGATATAGTGGCCTACGGCCCATCCCGCCACCGTGTTTGGGTTGTGGGTCAGAGGCTTGTTGGATGTTCGTTTGGATATCGTGGGAGGCCTCTCGGGGGCCTCTTGAAGGCAGTTTTGAGGCCTCTTGGGGACCGTTTGGGGGCCTCTTGGGGTCTCTTTTTGGGCCTCCTGGGGGCCTCGGGGCCCGTTGGGCTCTCTTGGGCCCGGCTGGCAGGCGCCACCGACCGACAGACGGCGAGGCAAGTCTCCCCGAAGACGAGAGGCGGGCCTTGGTGGAGCCAGGTGTCCGAGCGATACCACCTCAGCGTTGAGTGGCCGAGGATCAGGCGCCCTCCCTTCCGGTGGAACGCGCGCGCCGGCCGCCCCGGCAGGGGGAGACGAGGTCCTGCGCGGCCGGCCACGGGGCCCCGCGCGGCCCTTCGGGTCGGGGGCCCCGCCGCCGGCGCGCGGGCGAGGGCGCGCCGCCGCGCGGCCCGGGGGGGGCATCCGGGACGGGCGTCCGGGGCAGGGGGCCCTCCGCCAATGTTGAGAGGCACGTGGGCTCGAGGCCAGGAGGGGCGGCGGCGGCGCCCAGGCACGATGGGGCGCGGACGAGGGAGGGCCAGCGCCGCGGAGCGCGACGACCTCTGCCCGGCGGCGAGCTGAAGGGGGCGCATCCAGGGCCACGCGGGGAGCGGCACTGGGAGGAGGCAGCCCCGAGGAGGCGGGCCAGCGGCGGGCGAGGGGCGCAAGATCAGCGGGATTCCTGGGCGCGGCGTCGCGGTGCGGGTGGGGGCGATGTCGGGGCCCGCGCTCGCGCTCCTCTCCCCGGAGCGTCCGCCCCTCGGCATGGGCGCGCTTCCCCGGGGCCCGCCGCGGCCAGCTGTCGCGGCGCCCCTTGGCCCGGGGCCACCGACGGCGCCGCCGTCGCAGGGGGGAGCAGCAGCCGTGGCGGTGCGGGCAGCAACTGGCGTCGCGCGGCATGGGGACGCCCATAGGCAGGCGCCAGCCGCGCCCGGGCGGGGTCTGCTGTGAGGAGGAGGAGGAAGAGGAGGAGGAGGAGGAGGAGGAGGAGGAGGAGGAGGAGGAGGAGGAGGAGGAGGAGGAGGAGGAGGAGGAGGAGGAGGAGGAGGTGGAGGAGGAGGCGGAGGCGGAGGCGCGACGGATCCAGGAGCGTGATCTGCCGATGACGAGGGGCTTCGAGAGGACTGGGTCGGCGAGCGGTTCAGGAGGCGCCCGGGCGATGCTCGGAGAGTGGCCGGTCGCAGACGTCCGCAGGGGGGCGGCTGAGGCCGCGCAGAGCCACGAGGAGCTGCCGGGGCGCCCAAGCACGCTGCAGGAGCGCGCGCGTCCGTGGGAGAGGGCGCGGCAGCTCAGCCCGCTGCGCGAGCAGCGGCCGAGGCAACGGCCCAGAAGAGCAGCATAAAGGGGGGCGCTGCCGTCGGAGTTATTAGAGGAGAGCCCCATTGACGAGGGCGGCCCGACCTCCGGGAAAGAGGACGTGCCGGCGACGCCGACGGCGCCACGAGTCACAGCTCCGCTCTGCAGGGGGCGCGGTTGCCCAGGGCCAGCCGCGGGCCCGTGGACGACGGGCACTGCGCGGACCAGTCCGCGCAGCGAGGCGAGTGAGCGGGGCAGAGCGCCGGCGGGTTAGCCGAGCGACTCGCCGCCCAACATGGGAGGGGGAACCTCCCCCTGGACCCCTCCCGCGGCTGATGAATAGAGCTCTAGGGGCGCGAAACTTTTTTTTCAATCGCGCGCGCCAGGGGGGCGCTGCGGGCGCCGCCGAGGGGGTCGCACATCGTGTGCTCCCTTTGCACGGTAGCAGTGCAACGCCTGCCTTTCGCGTGGAGTTGTTATAGGGGTCGTATACATCAGATGCAAATTTCCCCGCCGGGCTCATTGCGAACGTGCCACAGTCGTCGTCGTCGTCGTCGTCGTCGTCGTCGTCGTCGTCGTCGTCGTCGTCGTCGTCGTCGTCGTCCTCGTCCTCGTCGTCGTCGTCGTCGTCGTCGTCGTCGTCGTCGTCGTCGACTACACTGGACCTACGCAGCCCCACCCCCACCTTGGGGCATTCGCAGTGCGTCGTCGCCGTCGCCGTCGGCGTCGTCCGTCGTCGTTGTCGTTGTGGTCGTCGTCGTCGTCGTCCTCGACGTCGTCGTCGTCGTCCTCGTCTCCGCTGTCGTCATTGTCGTCGTCGTTGTCGTCGTTGTCGTCGTCGTCGTCGACTGCACCTGGGCTCACAGCGACGCGCCCCTCCTCTGGAGAATCCGCAGTGCTGCGTCGTCGTCTGTTGTCGTCGTCGTCTCGTCGTCGTTGCGTCGTGGTCGTCGTCGTCGTCGTCGTCGTCGTCGTGGTGGTGGTGGTGGTGGTGGTGGTCGTCGTCGTCGTCGACGTCTACAGCGGGCATGCGCAAGACCCTCGCCCCCCCATAGAGCATCCGCAGTGCGTCGTCGTCCGCCGTCGCCGTCGCCGTCGTCGCTGTCGCCGTCGCCGTCGCCGTCGCGGTCGCCGTCGCCGTCGTCGTCGCCATCGTCGTCGTCGTCGTCTTCTTCGTCGTCGTCAGCGCCCTCGTAGGATTTAGTATACTGGTGGGGCGGGAGGGGGGAAGGGGGGGGGGAAAGGAACCCTTTGCGCCTGCTTCTGCTGGTTTTCCCCCTCTTCCTTCTGTTCGGCTGTAACCATGTCAGCACCGCTCGCCAGCTGAGGCGTCTGTTCCCCCCGCCTCCTTTTTTCTTTGCCTGATGCCGTTTTGGCTCGAACTGCCCTGTTATTGCGGAGGCGCTGCTGTCCCCTTTCCGCTGAAGCGGCGCCGGTTTCGCCGCGCCTGTCGCCACCTCGTTGGCGGCTGGCGCCGGCGCTAATCACCGGCGCTGCCGCCGTGTGTTTCCATTTGGCGGGCGCGCCCCCCTCGCGATTTGCCCGAGCAGGTTTTTTTGGTGCTCTCGCCCCAATTGTTTTCGTCACCCACAAATTGACATGGGTAGGTCAGGTTAGCTGTGGCGCAGTGCCGACGAGGGCGGGGTCATATGAGCTAAGGGACGTACCAGGTTAGGGGAGCGTTTGCAATGAATTGGCAAGTACTTGACAAGTATTGTAGATTTGGTGTCCGTGGAGGTCTCGGAGTCCTCTTTTCGGGAGGTCAGGGGCTCCTCCTCCGAGAGGTCGACCCCCTAGGGGTGTTTAATAATTAATTCGCAGTTGAATCCCGCGGTGGTCCCCAGGGTGGTTTCGTTCGAGACATGCTGCGGATTTGAAGGTCTTTTCGGGGGCCCCCCCGGGGGATCACTGGCGTGCCGACAATTCGTTCGTGTTTACTGCGTCCCGGAAGGGTGGTGGGGTCAAAGAATTAATGGGCAACGAGTTGTACGAATCGTAGGTCATTGTAGATTTATTTGTGTTTGAGTGGTTTTCTTTGTGCTTGGTGGTTGGGATACATGCCCAGGAACGTTTGTGATGAGAGGCCCGATGAGGACGTCGTTTCATTGGTGCGTCGAGGCCAACCAATCGTCTTGCTCCTCCTCTCGTCGTCGGCGCCGTCGCTGGCGTCGCCCCCCCATCGAGAGATCAGACACAGCATTCCAATGTGGATGACGATGAGCAGGTCGCCCCCCCACCCCCACCCACGGCCACATTGTTACGTATCCTCATCCTAGAAGGAGGAAGGGGCGGAAAGAAAAGTGGACTGGGAGGGATGATGGACGGATGAGGACGAGGATGATGCTGCTGCTGCTGATGAAGATGATGATGCTGCTGCTGATGATGATAATGATGATGATGAAGAATCTGATGATGATGATGATGATGATGATGGTGATGGTGATGGTGATGGTGATGATGATGATGATGATGATGATGATGATGATGATGATGATGATGATGATGATGATGATGATGATGATGATGATGATGATGATGGTGGGGGAACGAGCGACCGACATTCTAGAGTCCTAGAGGGTTCAAGAAGTTTGGGGTGAGTTGGCAATCCAGAAACTTCCAGGGATGAGGGGCTCCAGGCGGGGAGGAGTGATCAAGGGAGACGGGGGGGGGATGAGGAGGATGAGGCTGTCAGAAAAAAAGGCGTGGCGGTAAACGAGGATCATGACGAGGAGACGGTGGAAAGGGGGAAGGGCGGAAAAAGAGATGAGGAGGGAGGTAGTGAACAATTGAGGAGGAGGAAGAGGAGGAGGAGGAGGAGGAGGAGGAGGAGGAGGAGGAGGAGGAGGAGGAGGAAGAGGAGGAGGAGGAGGGGGACAATGACGAGGAGGAGGAGGAGGAGGAGGAGGAGGAAGAAGAAGAATAAGAATACGCATAATAATCATAATAATAATAATCATCATACTAATATCAGGAATAATAAGAAGACGAAGACGAAGACGAAAACGAAAACGAATAATAATAATACTAGTAATAATACTAATAATAATGATGAGAAGCATAATAATAATTATACTATGTCGAATAATAACAATCATACTACTACTAATCATAATAGTCATAAGAAGAAGATGATGATGATGATGATGATGATGATGATGATGAGGAGGAGGAGGAGGAGGAGGGCGGAACAAAGATGAGGAGGGGGCCTGGTGCCGGTGCAGGACAACTTCAGCAAGGGGACCCTTGTCAATTGCGTGGTCCAGAGAGACGACGAGTATGACGATAAAAAGCCCGACAAGCCAGCTGACGGCAAGACGTTCCCTTGCCGATGGGGCGCGTCTTCCCCTCCTCCTCCTCCTCCTCCTCCTCCTCCTCCTCCTCCTCTTCCTCTTCCACCTCCTCCTCCTCCTCTTCCTCCTCCTCGTCCTCCTCCTCCTCCGCCATCCGGCTGCCGGACCCTCCTTGCGCCATCCGCCTCCTCCGACTGCCAGTGCAGTGAAATCGACGGAGGGTCGACTCACGGGCTGGCCTTTCCCTTGTCCCTCTGCCACGCACGTGTCTCCCCGCATGCGCACGCACTGCGCGGAAACGAAGCGAGGACCCCTCCGGGGTGGAGGGTTTCTCCGAAGGGCTTAGGCGACCCATCCTCCTCCTCCTCTCTCCTCCTCCTCCTCCTCCTCTCCTCCTCTTCTCTCTCCTCCTCCTCCTCCTCCTCTCCTCCTCCTCCTGCTCCTCTTCCTCCTCCTCCTCCTCTTTCCTCCTACTCCTCCTCCTCCTCCGCCTCTTCCTCTCGTCCTCTTTCCTCCTCTCTCCTCCTCCTCCTCCTCCTCCTCCTCCTCCGCCTCTCCTCCTCCTCCTCTCCTCCTCCTCCTCCTCCTCCTCCTCCTCCTCCTCCCTTTCCTCCTCCCTTTCGTCCTCCTCCTCCTCCTTCCTTCTCCCTGCTCCTTCTCCTCTCTCCTCTTCGATCTCCTCCTTCCTCTGCTCTCCTCCACCACCTCCTCCTCCTTCTCGGGTTGCCCACGGCCCCTGGGGAAACCGTGCACTCAGAGGTACTGCTCCCCCCCGGACTTGCTTTGGTGAAGACGCCCTTCGAATTCTGTGCTCCTTGCCGCGTTTCATGAACCTTACCTGCAGGGACAGGTTCACACGTGGTTGCCCAGACCGCGTGGGCAGTGTTAGGGGGGGGGGGATCGTCCCATGGGGGAATACATTCAGGAGGGAAAGAAACACACAGACACAATTAATCGTCGACTCCCAGGAAAATACGGGAACATATGGGATTTGGGGGGGGAATGACGAAGAAACAAACAGTATGAGAAAACATGGGGAATCTGGTTGTTTGTGTTCATTTACTTATGTGTGTCCATGGGCCCCTTCACATACTGACCCCCAATCGCCCACCGCTGATCGCCCACAACGGGGCAGATGGCTCGCCCCGTGCAGGAGCGTGCGGTTTCGCCATCGGGAGCCAGTCGCCGATCTGTCGGCGACGCGTCGTAGACTCCAGGGGGGCGGTGTCTCACCCCCGTGGGCCAGTCCCCCCCCCCCGCGGCTGCCCCATCTCCTCTTCCCTCCTCCTGCTCCTCCTCCCCTCCAGGCCGTGTCCACATCAGGCCCCTCTACGCTCATCCTCCTCCCGTTTCGATTCTGTAAGCGGCATCCAGAGAATCTGCGTAGCGGCGTCAGGTCTGCGTAGCGGCGTTACTTCGCCGCTTCGGGGTTTCTGTCGTCTGTATGTACGTACGTGTTGCATGCATGCATGCATGTATGTGTGTCTGTCTGTCTGTCTGCCTGTCTGTGTGTATCTATGTATGTATGCATGCATGCATGCATGCATGCATGCATGCATGCATGTATGTGTGTATGTATGTATGTATGTATGTATGTATGTATGTATGTATATATATATATATATCGGTAAGTAAGTATGTATGTATGTATGTATGTATGTATGTATGTATGTATGTATGTGTAGATGTATGTACATACGTATGTATGCATGCATGCATGTACGTATGGATGTCTGTGTATGTATGTATATATACATGTATGTATGCATGTATGTATGAATGTATGTATGCATGTATACATGTATGTATGTGTGTCTGTACGCATGTATGCAAATAATGTATGTACGTATGTATGTATGTATGTATGTATGCATGTATGCATGTATGTATATAGGTATGGATGCATGCATGTATGCATGTATGTATGTATATAGGTATGTTTACATGTATGTACGTATGCATGCATGCATGCATGCATGCATGTATGTATGTATGTATGTATGTATGTGCGTACATGTATAAGTATGTATGTATGCATGCACACATGCATGTGTGTATGTATGTGTGTATGTATGTATGCATGCATGCATGCATGCATGCATGTATGTATGTATGTATGTATGTATGTATGTATGCATGCATGTATATATGTATGTGTTTATGCATGTATGTATGTATGCACGTACGCACGCGTGCATGCATGCATGTATGCTTGTATGTAGGTAGGTATGTATGCATGCATGCATGCATGTATGTGTGGGTGCATGTATGCATGTATGTATATGTGTATGCACATGTGCATGTTGTATGCATTTGTGTATGCACATGTGTATGCATATATGTATGCATGTATGTATGTGTATGTTAGTATGCATGTTTCTATGTATGTACGCATGCATGCATGCATGTATGTATATGCATGCATGCATTCATGACTGTAGGTGTGTGTGTGTGTATGTGTATGTGTGTATGTATGTGTATGCATGTATGTATGTATGTATGTAGGTAGGTCGGTAGGTATGTACGCATGTATGTATGTATGTTTGCATGCATGTGTGTATGTATGTGTTGCGGGCGGACCTATGCGCTCGCCTGCAGTGTGAGCGGGCGCCACCTACTGAGCCGCGGGGCTCGCCACGGAGCCGCTCCGGGGGCGGCCGCCGCGCCTTACCCCTTCGCCCCCTGCCAGTCGCCCTCGTCGTTGTCGGCGGTCGTTCCCTCGCTTTGCCGCCGGGCTCCTTCGCGATGGTAAAAGTACATATGTGTGTGCGTTTGTGTGTATGCGTGTGTGTGTGTGGTACACGTACATATGTGTGTGTGTGTGCGTTTGTGTGTATGCGTGTGTGTGTGTGTGTGTGTATGCGTGTGTGCGTGTGTGTGTGTGTATGCGTGTGTGAGTGTGTGGGTCCCTCTCTCTCTTTCTCTTTCTCTTTTTTTATATGTCTCTCTCTCTCTCTCTCTCTCTCCAGAGCAGGCCCCCGCGGCGCCCGGCGGCAGGTTAAAGGTCCACGTCGAGGTGAACCCTTCCGAGGACCGCCCACGCGCACGGGAGGGGTGCGGCGCGTGCCGGAGCGATCGTTTCGGGAGTTCTTGTGGCAAGGACGAGGGGGCGTGTCCAAGTTGATCGGGAGCCCCCAAACGGGGTGGTGACCACACCGTGCGGTGAGTCGGTGGGGATTCGGGGTCACCGCACGGCTTTGGGACTCGGGTCGTTCTCCGAGGACGTCTCGGGCGACAGGGGCCTCCAGGGTCCCCAGACCGTGCGGTGATGGACCGTGCGGCGAGGTTTCGGGGGATTTCGAGGTCACCGCGCGATTCGTCACCGCACCGTTTCGGGACTCCAATGTTGAGGAAGAAAGGACGTAACAATAAACTTTCGGCCCCTCCTGGCGGCGCCTCTGGCGCCGCCCCTGGCGCGCGGAGCGCGCCAGGGAAGGGCTCCCAGCGCAGATATAATACATTCGCGCCGACCGTCGAACGTTTAGGTTTATGCAGTTCTTTCTCCTTCCAGGGACGAGGCGGCGTGTCTAATACGTGTTCTACGATAGCCTTACGTAAGCCTACTTAGATGGACCCGCAGGCTTCTAATAAAGGCTTCTACGAAGCCAGGATGGCTTCTAAGAAGCCCCTCTGCCTTCCGATAATTCCCCAGGGCTTCTTAGAAGGGTGGTTCCCTCACACAATCGCCTTGTGCGGGCCGCCAAACGGTGGTCACGCACAAGTGTGATGATAATGGTGATGATGCTGCTGATGATGATGATGATGAGGAGGAGGAGGAGGAGGTGGAGGAGGAGGAAGAGGAGTGGAGGAGGAGGAGGACGACGAGAAGAAGGAGGAGGAGGAGGAGGAGGAGGAGGAGAAGGAGGGGGAGGAGGAGGAGGAGGAGGAGGAGGAGGAGGAGGAGGAGGGAGGAAGAGGAGGTTGGAGGAGGAGGTTGGAGGAGGAGGAGGAGGAGGCGAAGAGGAGGAGAGGGGGAAGGACAAGCCAGGTGTGCTCGCGTCATATCCGACGTCCTACCCATCCTCCCATCTCTTACCATGGCGTAGATCTGTCCTCTCTATTCGCACAGTGGGATGTCGTAGCAGGGCATAGCATTACGTGGCATGGTCTAGTGCTGAACATCAACGCATAGCCTGACATAGCATGGCGATGGCGATGCCCCAAGAAGATGGGGGCTTCTGCGGCCTAAAAATCAACGGATCGACACCGAATTCGTAATCACTTCCGATGTTTGTTTCGGGGGGCATTTCTAGATTTTTGAGCCTATTTGGCAGTACCGAAAACTATGCCGTGGCATGGCGCTGGAAATAATGACGCCAGCACTGCAGCGGGAGCACGATTCGGAACGAGCGGAAGCGCGGAAATGAGGCCAGCGCTGCAACGGGAACACGATTCGGAGGTCGCGTAGCCTGAAATAGCATGGCGGGGTTGGCTTCTGCGACTCCTAAAATCAATGAATCGACACCGAACGTGTAATCACTTCCGATGGTTTTTGTTTTGTTTTTTTGTTTTTGTAGATTTTGGGGCTTATTCGGAAGGGCCGAAAACCGTGCCGTGGCATGGCGCTGTAAATCATAACGCCAGCGTTGCAGCGGGAGCACGGTTCGGATCGAGCGGAAGCGCGGAAATGAGGCCAGCGCTGCAGCGGGAGCACGATTCGGAACGACCAGTAGCCCGACAATGAAGCCAGCGCCTCAGCGAGAGCAGCATTTTAAAAGCCGAGCGAAAACCCAACTCCCGGGAATCTTGTGTACAAAAAACCAGCACGTGGAGGGGCGCCAGACATTTCCCAGACGTCACCAGGGGAGAGAGGAGAGTAGTATTCATATTGTGTAATTGTAGAGGAGGAGGCGGAGGAGGAGGAACGGGGGGTGATGACATCGATCCGCGGCAGCGTGCGGGGCGGGGGCACGGGTCGATCTGTCCGCGGGGGGGAGGGGGGGTGGAGGGCTGGGGGGGGGATCGTACGCGGCAGGGGGGTGCAGGGATCCATCCACAAGGGTCACGAGGGCCCGATTTGGCTTCATGCCCGGTTCGGCGCGGCCCGTTACGGCGCGGGCCGAAGCCGAACGGGCCGGGACGAAAGGGATCGACGCCGAACCGGGCCGAAGCCGAAACGGGCCGAAGCCGAAACGGGCCGAAGTTGATGGGCTTGTTTTCCACCACCACCATAAGTTGGTGGGGGGAAGGAGGTGGAGGAGGAGGAGGAGGAGGAGGAGGAAGAAGAAAAGGGGGAGGAGCACCTCCCTCTCCAACTGATGGTGGTGGTGGCGGTGGAAAACAGGCCCACCAGATGGAGCCGAAACAGGCCGGAGCCGATACGTGCCGAAGCCGAAAGCGGCCTCTTCCCAGGGGGGGAGTCGGGGGGCATGGTCGGTGGGAGTGATGGTGCAGGGGTGTAAGGAGGGCGGGGGGAGGGGGGATCGGAGTCGGCCCATCACGGTAGGGAGGCGCGGGCGGTGGGTGGGCCGTGGCGTGGTAGGCTCCCTCAGGGGCCCCCGGGTTTGCGGTGTTCGGACGTGTTCGTTGGTTCTCCGCAGCATTCCTGCCTGGATCGACCAGGCGGCCGTCCCAGACAGGCTCAGGGGGGCATGCGTCGACCCCGAACTGCCATTTCATCGCCGATAGGGGGCCGATAGCCCACCCCGCCCAGGAGCATGCGGGCTTGCCCCATCACCGATCTATCGGCGATGTATCGACGATGTCTGATCGATGCTTCCCCCCTTGAGCTGGTTCCCCCCTCACGTTGCTTTCGTTTGGGGGAGAGTAACTGGTGTTTTCCAGGGCGTTTCCAGGACTGGAGACCGACGGTGCGTCCACGGGTCAGAACACTTCGAGGACACTGTCCTCGATACATGCTGGACATGGGGGGGGCGGTTTGCCAGTCGGAAGAAGTCCTGGGCATCTATTGGCGGGGGGGAGGGTCGAGCGGCCTGTTGGAATGTTGCAGTTAGCTGGCAGCTATGTGCGGTATCAGGTCGAATTCACACGCTCCGCTGGGGCCCGCCCCCCAGACGACATCCAAATTTGACGAGCACGAGCAGCACAATGACACCTGGCGCACCTCTCCACGAACTCCTTGATTCATACACGCACTCCTTCATGAGAAATTTATGACGGCGTCTCCCTCCTCTCCCCCCGCGTGCTGCTGCTCCTCCTCGCTGCAGTTCTCGTCCTGCGCCTCCTCCTCCTCGCCTCCTGCCCGCCTCCGTTCTCGTCCCTCCTCGTACGCCCCTCCCTGCCCCTTCACCCTCCCGCCTTCCTGCCTCCTCCGCTCCTGCCTCCTCTCGGGTCAGGGGCGAGGAAAAATAACATCGGTATGACGGGGCGGAAATGAGGATTCGGAGGAGGCCGCGGGGAAGGGGAGCCGGAGGACGCGGCGGGGCAGGAGTTGCATGCAGGAGCACGGAGGCCAGGAGGATGAGGAGGGCAGGGCGAGAGGAGCAGAAGGGCAGGGCTCGAGTGCGGCCACCGCACGAGGTGCGAGGCTCCTTCCCGAAGATGTACCGCGAGGGGGACGACAAAGCAGGCCTGCCTGCCGCCGCACCCCGCAGCAAGCCGGCGCAGCGTCGGGCGCGGTGGCGACCCGGGCTCGAAGAAGGACGGACTGCGCAGCCAGCGCTCCGCGCAGAGTTCTTGGATCGGCGCCTGGGCCCCCTTGGCGGCGCCTCCAGCGCCGCCCCTGGCGCGCTCCGCGCGCCAGGGAGGGGGGGTCCAGTGCAGATCCAGGGAATCCGCGCGCCGTCGAACGCTCGTGTTTTTGCGGTCTTTTGGTTCCTCTGCCGGCGCTGGTGTTTCAAGGATATGAACGCCGCCAGGGGCCCCGGGACTGGCCGACATGGGGAGGTCTGCTCAATTTCGGGCAGGCGGTGTCTATGTAGTGTCCGAGCTCTGCTCGCGCGCTCCGAGCTGCTTCCGAGCTCCCCCGCCACGTCCGCTCTGCCGAGCTCTGCCGCCACCTCCGAGCTCTGCCGCTGCAGTGCTACAGAGCGGTGCGCGCCCATGCCCGCGCGATTTGCCTGGGGGCGGCTGCGGTTCGTTGTCGGTGCGGTCATAGCCCCCTGGAGGGGAAGCGGACGCGACGGAAGGTGTTGGGTGTTTTTGTGCGGAAAAGAAATTCGGCAGGCGGTGTCAGAAGTCAGCGCAAGGGTCGTCACGGCACGAACCTGCCGTGTGCCTGCCTATATCTTCGTCTTCCCCCTCCCCCAAGGCAGAGTAGCGGGGGGCGTCTGGAGATCGCATTCTCACCTCCTGTGCCTGACTGCATTGGAGGCTTCGCCCTTTCTTTCCATCGCCCTTGATTTCCATTCCTGTCTCGCCGTCGCGCTCATCCTCGCCTCTTACTCCTTTAATCCTCCACCTCCTCCGTCTTCCTCACCCTTCCCCTCCCTCCTGCAGTATGTATGCATGTTTCTATACCAGTAGGACCACCCTTCGGGTAATAAGGAGTTCGGGGGGTAGCTTCGGTGTGCGATTGGTGCTGGATTCCATTCGCAATGTATCGATAGTGATCTCGCCACGTGTACATACATATATCATTAGTGTACATATTATATATACTGTTGTCACCGAGCACCGAACGGTTTCATTACCTTCATAACACTATCGCGTAAACCACTCTTTGGCTGGCTGTTTTTTTGTTTCAGGGGAGGGGGGAGGACGGGGCCGGCACGCCATCTTTGATTTGCATTGGACGCATCGGGACATCAAGATTGAGGCCTTTTATCTAATGCATCATTGCCGAACTGTGCAGTGTTTGGCCATATATACATTTGTAATATGGGTATATAGCTCTTCGCGTAGTAATATTTGATCGCTTCGCTCATGTCGCCAGCCGATTTCGCATCACGGTGGCTGCATGGTGGTGTGCTCGTACCCATGGGGAAGGGTGGGGCAGGCAGGACTGTCCTCGAGGAGGTCTTTGGAGATGTGTCTCGCACAACGTCGAAGAGAGCCGATAGAAAGCCCCAGAGGGCGCCAAGATGGTTCAAGAGAGCTCCAGCAGAGTTTCGAGACGTACCTGGTGTGGGTCAGAGCCCTCATGTTTTATTGGGTCTCTTTGGAGGGATCTCGGGAGCCTCTGGGGAGTTAAGCTGGGGAGCCTCTTGGGAGCCTCTTGGGGGCTTCTTGGGGGCCTCCTTGGTCTTCCCGGAAGCCTGCTGGGGCTTCTTGGGAGCCTGTTGGGGGCTCGGGAGCCTCTTTGGGGGCCTCTTGGGGCTTGGGGTCCTCTGGTAGCTTCCTTGGCGCCTCTTGGAGCCTAGAGCTCAAAATATCAGGTCGGGTTCCCTCTCCTCAGGGCCTCTCGAAGTCCTCTTGGGACTCTCTTGGAGCGTCTTGGGCGCTTCGTGGCCCGTCTTGGGACCAACGTGGGCCATCTTGGAACGCTCTTGGTAGGAAGCCGTGGGGCGTGCCATCCTTTTGGCGCCTCATTGGGGGGCTCGGGGGGGCCCTGAGGCCGCGCCCAGGAGTTCTGGCATCTCTGGCCCAACTCTGCCCAGACCTTGCCGGGACCTTCCGTGACCTTGTCGGGATTCTTTTCGTCTGCGGACCCCCAGGGGCTGCCACGCGCGCGCGAATTGGAAACATTCTTAAATCCTAACTGGAGATTTTAGCACGACTCTGGCCTGTTGTGCCGGCGAGTCATCTCTCAACCAATCTGTTTTTCGATCTCAGTATTTGTAGTACATGTATATACATGTACATGTATATATTTGTAGATTTTCTGACCGTCGCTGCTAATGCAGGGTCCCGAGTGGGCCCTCGCGGCCTTTTCCAAGCCATCTAGGGGGCCTCCTGGGCTGTCTTGGTCCCTCAGGGCAATCTTGGCTGCCTCTTGGGGCTGCTCTGGGGCGGTCTGGGGGCCCAGTTGGGCTGTCTTGGGGCCCTGTTGGGCTCTCTGGAGCCCCTCCGGGGTGTCCGCAGCGGTGGTCGTATCCTATCGCATGCCCCCAGCCTTGTTGGAAGCACGGCCGCCTTCTTAGAAAGCCACCCCCCTCGCGCCATCCCCTTGCGGGCGCGTCAAATAGAAGGCTGGCGGCAGCAAAAGTTGGCCACCAAAGGTATAACAGTGTCTGTGGACCTAGCAGCGTCGAGGAAGAACAGGCGGCACACATGTAACATGTCGGACGTCCGCGCGAATTTCTCGGATCGCTAGTGGACCCCCCTGGCGGCGCCTCTGGCGCCGCCCTTGTCGCGAATCGAACGCCAGCAGTTTATGTCTTTGCCGATTTGTCTTCTCATATCCCAGGGGACGACGCCAAGAGGTCCTGCGAGGAGAACCGTGCACATTCACCGTTCCTGTTCCGATGCTTGGGGCTTGTGCTCATTTACCTCCTACTCCTCCTTCTCCTTCCCCTTGTTTTCAAGTTCTTCTTCTCATTCACCAAGCACAGCGGGTTCATCCGTACCGAGAGTTGCGTGCCCCTCGTCGTGACCGCCCCCCTCCTGGATGCCGACGACGGCGGCGGCGAAGATGACGACGACGCTCTCGGCCCCTTCCCAAAACTGGCCTTTTATTCGCTGGCCCGTTGCGCTGGGCCTCGGAACCCAGAAACTGGCCGCTGGACAGGTCTTGCTCTTTGGGCGGCGCCGGCGACCATATGAATTCACGGGTTCGCCAAGAAAGGCGCACCGTGCACGCACCTCCTTCAACGAACGCCAGGGGCCTCCACGATCACCTTAGAGTACCAGGTGCCTCTAGCTACGAACACTTTAGAGCAGCCTTCCTGCAGCCCTCGATCGCGCCTCGGCGACGCCCGAGAGGCTACATCGCGGGCTGCGAGAGAAAATTCGACGTGAAAGGGCACGTGCGAGCCCGCGTCGTCATGATGCTCGTCGGCGATGGAGACGGCATGAGCGACGCCGCCCGTCCAGGGGAGGAAGTGGAGGTGGGAGGAGGAGAAGGGGGAGGACGGGAAAAGGTTGGAGGGAGGGGGAAGAGGAGGAGGAGGAGGAGGAGAAGGGGGAGGAAGTGGAGGTGGGAGAAGGGGAAGTTAGGGGGGGAGGAGGTGGAGAAGGAGAAGTTAGCAGGAGGAGACCGGTGAGGAGGATGCTAATAATGCTGCTGCTGATGATGCTGCTGCTGATGATGATGTTGATGGTGCAGACGAAGACAATGAGGGTGGCGATGCTGCTGCCAATGATTCTGCTAAGATGCTTGATAATGATGGCGAGGCTGCCTGTGATAATGATTCTCATTTTGATGGCGATGATGACGCTGACAGTAAGGATACTGCTGCTGCTGCTTCTGATGATGATGATGATGATGATATTGATGCAGGCGAAGACAATGCGGGTGGCGATGCTGCGGCCAATGATTATACTAAGATGCTTGATACGTATGGCGATGATGCCTGTGTTAATGATTCTCATTTCAATGGCGATGATGACGCTTACAGTAAGGATCCTTCTGCTGATGATGCCGCTGATGATGATGGTGCTGGTGATGGTGCTGGTGATGATGATGATGATGATGATGATGATGATGATGGTGCTGGTGATAGTGATGGTGATGATGATGCTGCTGATTATGATGATGCTGATGAGCAGAACGGCGATGTTGAGGACGACGATGACGATGGCGATGATGACGCCGCTGATGATGATGCCGATTATGATTATGATGATGATGCTAATGAGGATGCTGATGATGCTGATCATGATGACGGTGATGACGATAGTGGAGGTGCTGATGATGATGATGATGATGATGATGATGATGATGATGATGATGATGATGCTGCTGGAGTTGCTGCAGCTGGTGATACTGACGAGGCGTAGGATGGGGCGAGAAATACGTATATGGAAGAAATCAGATGACGCTCACGATGTAGAGGGGGATACCTATGACGAGGACGAGGGACATTGATGATGAGGATGATTATTCGGAACAACGAGCGTGAGGGTGATGCCAATAACGACGAAACGTTCATCACGAGTATTATGAGGAAGAGTATGGCATTGATGAGGGAAGAACAATTGTTTCAGGACGATCATGGGGAGGGATGAGGAAGGTAGACGATAGACATTGGTGGGTATTAGACGAGGGTGGGTGTGACAACCATGCCGACGTCGACGATGTTCACGATGACGATGACGATGCCGATGACGACGACGATGGCGATGGTGTTAGTCATAATCATGCTGATGATTAGCGTGCCGATGCTGCTGCTGATGTTGATACGGCTGCTCATGTTGCGTATTGTGATGATGCTGCTGATGATGACGATGATAACGTTGTGGTTGACGATGTTGATGGGTATAACGAGGACGGTGTCTAATATGTTGATAGAGAAATGACTGTGAGGTTGGTGGAGGTGATGCTTTTGATGACGATGAATGTGCAGATGATGATGAAGATGAGTCTGACGATGACGATGGAGATGAAGATGAACATGCAGATGTCGATGATGCTAAGGATGATGATGCAGGTGCTGCTGATGATGATGCTGAAGATGGTGAGCATGATGATGATGGTGATGATGCAGATTATGCCGATGCCAATGCCGATGCCAATGCTGATGCTGATGCTCATGTGGATGATGCTGATGCTAATGCGGATGCTGATGCTGATGCTGATGCTGATGCTGATGATGATGATGATGATGATGATGATGATGGCGGTGGTGATGGTGGTGGTGGCAGTGGTGGTGGTGGTGGTGCTGATGAGGATGATGCTGATGCTGATACTGATGACGATGATGCTGCTGATGATGATGATGATGACGATGATGCTGATGCTGATGATGATGATGATGATGATGATGATGATGACGATTATGCTGATGATGATAATGCGAATGCTGATAATGACGATGCTGATGCTGATTGTGCCGGTGATGATGATAATTCTGATTATGCTGATGATGCTGATGATGCTGATGATGATGATGATGATGATGATGATGATGATGATGATGATGATGCTGATGCTGCTGCTGCTGATGATGATGATGATGCTGATGATGATGATGATGATGATGATGATGATGATGATGATGATGATGATGATTCTGATGCTGATGCTGGTCATGCCACTGACTGTGTCTGTCCGCTCCGAAGACGCCTACGGCGAATCACAGCCGCCCTCTGCCTTTTTGGATGCGCCGGTGTGGCCGAAAGTTGGGCTAGAGCTTGGCCAAGCTATTAGAGCTTGGCCAAGCTATCGGACCAGGTGTTCCCCCCGCCTTCGTTGAAACCCTTTGGGGAAGCCGTGAGGAAGAGGATAATGAGGAGAATGATGGAAATGCAGGGGGAGGAGGAGGAGGAGGAGGAGGAGGAGGAGGAGGAGGAGGAGGAGGAGGAGGAGGAGGGAGGAGGAGGAGGAGGAGGAGGAGGAGGGAGGAGGAGGAGGAGGGAGGAGGAGGAGGAGGAGGAGGAGGAGAGGGAGGGGAGGAGGAGAGAGGAGGAGGAGGAGGAGGAGGAGGAAGGAGGAGGAGGAGGAGGAGGAGGAGGAGGAGGAGGAGGAAGAAGAAGAAGCAGAAGAAGAAGAAGAAGAAGACGAAGAAGAAGAATAATAAGAAGAATAAGAAGACGAATACGAATAATAAGAAGAAGAAGACGAATAAGAAGAAGAAGAATAATAATAATAAGAAGAATAAGAAGAATAAGAAGAATAATAATACGAAGAAGAATAATAATAAGAATAATAAGAAGAATAATAAGAAGAATAATAAGAATAATAATAAGAAGAATAATAATAATAACAAGAAGAATAATAAGAATAATAAGAATAATAAGAATAATAAGAATAAGAAGAATAAGAATAATAATAAGAATAATAATAATAATAATAATAAGAAGAAGAAGAAGAAGAAGAAGAGGAGGAGGAGGAGGAGGAGGAGGAGGAGGAGACCTCTTGCCAGCCTCTTGGGGCACCTGGGAGCTGCCTGGGAGCGTCTTGGAGGCCTCTTGCGGGTGTCCGTCGGCCTCTTGAGGGCCTTTGCGGGCTTGGCCGAGGCCTCTTCTGGCCGTCTCAGGGCGTTCCTGGGCAGTCTGACGCCGTCGGGAGCAGTCTTGGGGGCCTCTCTGGACCGTCTGGGGGCCCTCTGCGGGTGCTTCAGGGCCGTCTGGAGGCCGTCTTGGCTGTCATGCGGCGAGGCGCCGCCTCTGCCACGAGGCCGAGCGACCGTCGGCGCTGGCCGCGCCCTTTGCGAGCGCCGAGGCTCAATTCTCGCCAGCTCCGCGGGCCATTCCTCGGCGCGAGCTCTCCGCTACCGCGGGGGCCTGCCGCGTCGCTCGCCCCGTCGACGATGCCCCTGGTCCTGCGGCCCGTCGCTCGCGCGCCGCGCTGTCCGGGCAGCAGGGCAACCACGGGTCCAGGGGGCTCCGCACTGCCGTGCCCGCTGCGAGCGGCCGTGAACGGGCCGCGCCCTGCGATTTGGGCAGCGCCAGCGGCGGCCCCGCCAGCGCCCGCGGAGACTCCGCTCGGCGCTCCACCCACGGCGCTTCGGGGACGGCTCAGCCAGCCCCATGGCGCTCTGCTGACGAGCCCCGGCCTCGCGACAGTTGGCAGGAGCGGCGCAGAGGTGAGCAGCGCGATTCTGGGCAGCCGCTCGGGGCTTGGCGCAGCGCGCCCCCCCCGCCAATCCGACGGGGGCCACCGCGGTGCCAGAGAGAGCCCCGTGGACGCTGGCTCACGGACCAGCCCCCCGCGCGCCGCCGATCAGACAGAGGCGGCCATAGGAGCGCTTCTGCAGGTCAGCTCCGCGGCTGCCGAGGTGCAGCCTCCGCCGCGTCGCCCCGCGCTGCTCCCTCGCTGGCTCGGACGCATGCGCGGTGCTGCCGACGGCGCCGACGCCGTTCCCCTCCGCAGGCGGCAGCGGTCCAGGGGCCCGCCCCGGCGGGGCTGCGTGTCTCCGCGCTGCTCACCGTCGCCTCGCGCCCAGTGGCCCAAGCGGCGAGGGGCCGCATCGCGCGACGCCTCGCGGCGGGGGCGGACTGCTTCGGGCGCGGTCCTCCTCCGCCAGCGGCCGGGGGCACGCCTCGCTCGACGATCCTGGCAGCCCCCTTGGAGGCGCCGCCAGCGCCCGCGGAGACCCCGCTCAGCGCTCCACCCACGGCGCGTCGGAGATGGCTCAGCCTACTCCGGGCCGCAGCGCCCTGCCGGCGAGCCCCGGCCTTGCGACGGTCAACAGCAACAGCACGGGGCTGCATCAGGCCGCCCCTCTCAGGGGAGAAGGCCTGCTCCAGGCAGCGCCCTTTACCCGCGGCGCCAGCCTGCCGACGCCGCCTAATTAAGTGACGCAGCGCGCCCAGTCCACCTCGGACCACCTGCCCCTCGCCAGGGGCGCCCACAGCTAAACTTCTCATCGATGCCCGTGCGCCGCGTGGCAAGCGTCCACTGGCCTCCCGCCACTGTCTCTCTCTTTGCCTCTCTCTCCCTCTCTCTGTCTCTTTCTCTCTCTCTCATTTTTTTGTTGTAGACCCCTCTCTCTCTCTCTCTCCCTTCCCCTGTTTCTCCGCTTCCACCCCTGCCTCTGACCCCCGTGCTCCAGTCACCAGGAGGGGGGAGGAGAGAGAGAGCGAGAAAGAGAGAGAGAGAGAGGGAAGGAGAGAAGAAGAGATACGGGAGGAGTGGTGAAGACGGGATGGGGGCGGGAGTGATGAGAAGGTGGATGTGGTGGGGTGGCGTCGTTCGCGTCGGCGTCAGCGTCAGGGTCAGCGTTGTCGCCGCCGCCGCAGTGTTGTCGCCGCCGCCGTCGTCGTCGTCCTGGTCGTCGTCGTCGCCGCCGCCGTCGTCGACGCCGTCGTCGTTGCCGTCGTCTTCGTCGTCGTCGTCGTCGTCATCGTCTTCGCTGCCTTAGGGGGACGAGGAGGAGGAGGGGGAGGGGGAGGGGGAGGAGGAGGAGGAGGAGGAGGAGGAGGAGGAGGAGGAGGAGGAGGAGGAGGAGGAGGTGGAGGGGGCTTGTACGAGGCGGTTGCGCCGCTGCCGCGGCCGTCGATTGCTTCTCTTTCTCTGTTCCTTTGCAGTCGAATGCGATAGCTGAAAAAAGGGGATCCGGGCTCCATCCCCAGGCGCCCGACGGAGGGACGCGTGTGAGGGGATGGGTGTTGGACGGAGCGCATCTGAGGAGGGACGACGGGTCCAGCGGGGCGGGGCGGAGGGAGGAGGGGGCGCGGGGGCGGGAACGAGCGGACGGGAGGGGGCCAGAGGTGCGGGAAGGCAGGGTGCAGAGGAGGGGGCGGACGGGCAGCGGATAGAGGAGGTGACGGAGGTGCAGCGCGTTTGTTGCAACAGCGAGCACTTTCGGCTCGGAGAGGGTTCGATGTCCCTTTGCGTTCCTGGGCACATTCCCTTTGCGTTCCTCGTCCACGCGTGCGCGAGTTTGGGGTCACAAAAAGGGGCTTCGTTCCTTCTGCCGCGTTCCTCGGTCATCAGGAGCCCAGTCGTAGGGGTTGGAGGGGGAAAGGGGTGCGAAGGGTGGGCGCGTGGGGCCTGGAGGCAAAGGGGGGGAGTGTGGGGGGAGTACAGTCTAGGCGATGCTTAAGAAAACCCAAGTTTTCGGCCAGAGTCTCGATTATTCTTAATGTTTCAATGTAAATCCCAAGATTTGAATAGACATTCTGGGTTTTCATTCAGATTCTGAGACTATGAATTTCTGAACCCATGATTTCTAAAGCATTTCGCAGGGTGTAGGGGGTGTGGAGGGGGGGGGGGGGGGGCCAGCGGATGGGGGAGGGGGTGACGGGGATGGGGACGGGAGGCGTCGGGGACCAGGGCTGCGCGAGGGGCCGGCGACAAAAGCACGCCCAGAGGGTGCGGCCCGCCCTCGCGCGCTCCCGCCGGGCGCCCACGACGGCCAGGGCGAGGAGGGTGCGGGGGGCGAGGGGGGCGTGGGGGGGGCCTGAAGCCAGGGGAGAGAGTGCGGAGGGTCGGTGGTTCGGAGAGGGGGTCCCGAGGGGTGGGGTCCTGAGGATAGGAGGGGATCCAAGGGTGGGTCTACGCCACTCCAGGCACCTCGTCCTCAGGACCCCGTCTCTCAGGACGCCATCTGTGAACCACCGACAAGGGGGGGGCGGAGGGGGCGGCGGTCAGGGCCTGACCCCCCCCCCCCCCTGCCTCCGCCCCCTCGGCATCCCCAGGCTCGTCTTTGCCCCTCTCGGCCTGCTTCCCCTCCCTCCTCCGTACGGCCCCTCCCTGTCCTGATCCACCCTCCCCCCGCCTCCTCCTCCCATCCCCGAGCGCCTCCCTCGTGCAGGAGGCCCTGGTCGGTCAGCCTCTCTGTGAACAAGACCGACAAGACGTGGGAGCAGGACCGGGCCGCAGCAGACGGGAAGTTCTCACCGGTGTGGGGGGGCCTGGCCGACCAGGGATCTCAGGGCCAACGATCTGGTGGGATGGGTTCTGGTGGCGGATGCATCGACCCCCAATCGCCCATTGATCATCTACATGACCTCGATAGCCCGCCCTGTCCAGGACCGTGCGGATTCGCTATCGGGGCCCATCGTCAATGTATCGGTTATGTATCGCCTATTACCGATCTATGTCTACCCCTTGAGCCAGTTCTTCCCTTGGGTGTTCGATCATTGACCCCTTGTTAACCGCAACTGTCCAGCTGTTTGCGAAAACCCAACGACGACCGCCAAAGACCTCCGAAGATCGTCAAAAGACCGCCTAAGACCGCCCAGGACTGGTGGATACAGTCAACCCGCATAGTACGGATGAGCGACTTTCAAAGGTTACCCTTGCATCCCTCCTCTTCGGCCCATCCGTGGCCACTTTCGCTGGCCGCACCCCGCTCGCAGATTGCCCACACGGCCTTCCAGGGCCCTTGCATCCTCATCGTGCGTACTCATCCTACGGGTTGGAGGAGGATACGGAGGAGGAGGAGGAGGATGACCAGTGTAAACACAAGAGTCATCAACGATTTTGGAATTAACCTCCTCTCCAAGCTCCCTCTTGATAGGGAGGGTACGCCGCTGGATCTCCCCAGGGGGGGGGGTGGGACCGCATGTGGGCCCAATCCCAACCCACTGGGCCCAATTCCAACCAACTGGGCCCA